CGTCGAGTAATCTCGAGCTGAAAGAGCTGATACCAGAAGACTGAAATTCACAGAGAGAACCGTCGTTCGCAACTCATTAGCTCTAATAGTCTTCATTAAACGCAATTTTTCTGCTCTATTACGGTGTGCTTTCACATTAGGCTACAGCCAAATGCTTCTGGCTTCCTTTTTCCAGGTTTGCTTCAGGGTCTTATGGATCTTTTTTTCAGCGTCAGGTTATTTTTGGTATTCCGATCACCTAGAGCGAGGTATACGTTTTGTATCGGCAAACGCCTCTCTCAAGCGTAAGGAGATGAAATGGTGACCGGGCCTGGCCGGGCTAGACCTTCCATGTCTTTGGTGGTCGCTTGATTTAAAACACACCCGTCTGAGAGGTCTCGTGCATCGCCTGCTTTCCAAAAATGCCTGCCTTCATATTTGCCTTATAGTTAAAACCCTTTACGATTTCGGGTGAAGGTCGAGTACATGGCGCATCCCAAAAGATCTCGATCAACGGCGTATTGTTTGTAGTTATTACGCCCTCGATGCACTCAAAACTTTTCATTGGTCTGAGACGGTAAGTTCCCTTTGAAACCAGTCTTATTCCATGCTGAAATCGTATTATGTTCGGGGTTCCGTATTTAATGCGCCCCTGAGAAAAGCTACGATGCGAATAATAGGTGTAGCAATAGCTTTGCCTGCGTGATTATGCCGACTGCGAAGACGGCTTTATGCGTTGCACGGCCGTGGTCCATTTTGCCATTGTAAACCGCAGGCCAAGAGAAGGGTCGTGCCGTCCCTCAGGCTGGCCAGCCGTTGAGAGAGCGCAGACTCCGAGAGCGTCCTCTGTGTCCGACTAAAGATGATTTATCATTGTCCAGTGTGAATCGAATTTCGGATCTAGTGTAATATTTAGTAGTAGTCTGAGGTCCTCCTTGTGGATAGTTTGAATTTTTCGGGTTTGTCGGATTTATACGAGTTCCTGGGGGTTTTTGAAAGCTCAGAAGTCTTATTATGCCCATGTGGGCCTATTAGGCCTAGGCAATTGCATGGAGTCAGGGTTTCCTTGGAAATGCAAGCTGCCAGGTCCTGATTGTAAGACCCAGCGTTTCTGAAGTACTCCATAGGAGATCCTATGAACCCTGAGATGCCTAGAAAAGTAAGCATTGAATTTAGTAGTGTGTAGATTTCAGGAAAGTAGCTTATTTTTGTAGCAGCGTCTTTTCCATACCTCGATCTTATCGCTTAAGTGCTACCTATCGCTAGATTAGGCTCCTAGTCTGGTGGTTGCTCACGGCTTTGAAGTGGTTTTTCTTTGCATAGAGGCGCAAAGAGGGTTTCTCGGAATGAGAACAAATGAGTCACCGAAAACATATCCGTTTGAGAGCACTAGCTTAACCCTAATCCTGTGATGAGATCTTCTGCACGTCGGGCGGCCAGCGCTAATGTGGAGGGCCGCCAAGCCTGAGAGAGTGTAAACATTATTCATGAGGGGAACCTTGAGCCGCAGCTTCGTCTCTCTCACTTGTCGTTCCTGAGCTGGCAGTGGTCTGCGACGATTTGTGAACGGTCGAAGTTCATAAATTTGCCATTTAATGAAACTTTCGCTGCAGTTATTATTTTTGGAAATAAAATTATGTACATCTAGTAAATTCTTTCTGCAGTTTGTTTTATTAGATAACTGCTGTTTTTCGCCGCAGTTCGCGCTTGGGAGTCATCGAAAACTGACTGGGGCGAAAGTTTTGCCCACAACTCAGCATTCTTGCGATATATTTCTGCAACCTTTTCTTTACTATACTGAATTATTCTGTTTCTCATATTTTTCTATTGACGATCAGAATTTATTACTTTTCAAACTATAACCAATATGGTCAGAGCACGTTTTGAAAACCACCTATTTTGGGCGGAGCTTTAGTACCACATCGGTCTTCTGCTTTCTCATTCCACTCATTCTCCTTCCACTTCTTAATATTCTCAACAAAAGTGTCAAACTTTTTTGAGAATATAAAAACTATTCCACTCTCCTGTGCATTCTTTAGGTACCATTATTATTTATGAAGTTTAAGTGATCTACAAGTGTGCTCTCTCTGCCCTTATTCGAATTAAGGCGAGGATACTAGCCAGCTGGATCATACTTCTTCTTTATAAAAATGGTCCTCTTGAGGTTCTCTTTAATTTATTGAAACATTCCATTAGATTCTACACGGAAAAGAACACCTTGTTTCGTAGATAAAAATGACTGGGGATCTTCCTGGGTTGCACTGCTATTTTAAGTCTAATTATGTATGGTTAGAGACCGTTCGACTGTGACAAAGAGGTCTCCCACCAGCGCATAGCTGCTGCAAAACGATAATCGCGTGATCGCGGATGAACGGAAGTGGTTACGTTGAATAGGGACATCGCATGACGCAGAACTTGTTATCATTGAATAGTATGTTACTGAAGGACGTAGTGGTGGTGACACCGCCGTAAACATTATTATTACCCACGTCTATTATGTGACGATAATGGTCGTGGTGCGCCTGGGTGCCCAATGCACGCAGCAGAAGTCAAACGCAGACTACATGCACTATCATGCAACCCATGCGTGCACTACCATGCAGCCATGCTGAGTTGACTCCCTCACCCCGCTCAGTCAACCCTGAATTCTTCTCTTTTCTAGCAATTAGGATTCATTCGCTCTTATGTTTGATCACATTTTTCTTTTTTCTAAAGAGTTAGTTGAAATCGTGGCGAGAGAAGGATTAGTTGAAGCTCTCCATCTGCAGTAGGGTGAACCTCTTGAATTGCTGAGCTCGAATCTACTGTCGAATTCTGCAGAACGATTTGCTGAAAGAAGTCACGACAATTTGGCTGCTGCGGTGTGCCCCTTTTCTCTTCTTTGATGGCGTAAGCAAAGTCGTCAAACACGAGAGCCAGTCGTATATATGGTGTAATGCAAATACCTTGGTTTTATTATTACAGAGGAAAGGTCACGATCGGTTTAATATCTAGCAATGTCTTTCCTACTTGGCATGAGGTTCTCAAAGTGCAACGCTCATATTGAGCTATTTTGTTGATTAGCATGCTTTTTAGTTTTGCCAAAAGCTAAAACGTAGATCTTTCATATTTGTTGTAAGTCTGTTAAATTTCTTGTGCCTTACGAGGTTGATTGGTGGTACATTTATTTTCAAAGGCCTAACGTTTCGACTGAATCGTCGTCTTCAGAGGCCAACGGTTTCACCGGTAGAGCGAAAATACTTCCAAATCATGACCAGCTTTATGTGGCAGCGTACTTTTCCGCTACTACGGAACCGTTGGGCCTTCTAAAGACCACATTCAGTCAAAACGTAGTGCCTCTGAAAGATAAATGTTCCACCATATCATCTGTAAGCACCAAAAATTTAATACTTAACAAACTAATATGTCGTAGATGCAACAACGAGAAAGCGGAATTTTTTATGATAACTAATAAGAAATAAAATATAATAAATAAGAATATAGATATAAAATGAAATTCAATTGCTCTATCAGTAAATGGTCTAATCTTTTCAAAATGATCGCAGAGTGATTTTTCAGGCACGGACTGTACCGGCCACGTAAATATTTCCTCGTGTTCCTTTTGCTTTTGGATGAAAGACTAGTTTGTTTTAATCACTTCGTTTTTGATCACGTTTTGCCTTTAATTGCGTCAATTAAGTGGGAAACCAGAGAAACCACATGAGACAAATACTCACAGAATTGTTCCTCAGATTTTGAAGGCATCTTTGAGCTCGGCACCTCGTGCCCTACAAGAGTGTACATCTCACTGCAATTAGCCAGTCGAATCTCACGGCCAATTGCCATTTGAAGGCCCTTTCCTGTAACTAAGAAAGGTAAAACCTTTATCAACGCAATAGCTGAAATGGATCATTTCGCTTCTTCCTCGTACGTACCTTATTGTTTCCGCCTTTATTTGATTACCTCTGTACTTCTGTAATTGCTTCTTTCTTTCTGAAGCCTGCCCATCAGTTAATTTGTGGATGAATGTGATATCTGCTACTACAGATGACGATGATGAATTGAGGGTTCAGAGCAGAAGTGATTATTTCTCGCGTCATCACCCGTGCGGCTGAATCCGTGTATAGTGAGTTTTCACGAGCAAGGAAAAACTGATGCACCGCTATTAGATCTTCTTTGAACTAGGATTATCGAGGTGGCAATTTCCATGATTACCTCTCACTGTTTCATCACGTTTGCAGCACCAATGGTTCCACATTCATTAAATAAATTATCAATCTGGGAAATTTCGTTCATCTACACCATTCTCGCACTTCCGATTAACGCTTGCCGACTACTCCAAATTGACCCTATTATAGAATTCCTATATGTAGTTTCAGTCCCGGGTCAGAGAATAGGTAAAACAACTGCTGATCTAGACATGGCTGGTACGTAAAAGCGTGCTTCTTAACTTCTCATCGTCTCTGCATTTCAGAATATATGCTTCATTAGAGTGGTGCGTTTTGATGTTGCCGTATACGATGTAAGAAACGAGTTTAAAGGCAAAGTTCGGGCTCAGACCCACTTAATGAGCCTTTACGGTGGCTAGAAGCGCTAGGTACGCAAGTGTAGAGGTCGCGTCACTTCCCTACTTCGAAAAGCGTTATTTAGACGCTAGGCGCTAAGAACTTTGACACGCTCCACCTGTTGCGACACGCTCCGCCCACCGCTCGATATCTTGTCTGCGTCGCTATGTTGATCTGCTATGCTCTCTCTACTCGGACTTCTCTACGCTCTCCGCGCTCACATTATCTCTCATCTCCCTGCCGGCCTTTTGAACTTCTCCGCAGCGTAGAGCAAAAGCTCGTATTTCCTGTGTATTTCACGATTTTTTTCTTTTTTCTCCACTGGCGGTCCACTTCCTACCCTACTTTCACATTTGAGTGGAATTACCTCATAATTTAATCCTGAATCTTGCCTTTAAGGGGACTGACAGAGAGAAATCTTGGAGGTTCATATTTTTCAAAGGTTGTTTTTCTGTCCTTTTGACCCCCACACTCGGATTTCGCTGCCACCGGCAGTTCAATAACTTTCACCATTTTCGTAAGAACCCTCAAATAAGACACCATTATCTTATTCGCTTTTAGGCGTTAATAGTTGGCCAGATGTTCGAAGTTTCCCGTAATTTTCCTACTATATAGTTTTCAGCCAGCTTTACACGTATCGTTGGCCGTTTCGATTTTGACGAAATGCGATACGGGCGACGACGTAGAGAGCCGACCAATTCGCGAAGGGCTAGTTACGACGCGATCTTCTCTCGGCTGCCACCGTGATCCCACTTTGTAAAGCGACAGCAAAGCCTAGCTGGCTTGCCATTATGGCACAAAGATTACCTTGCTGTGTGCCCGTCAGCAACAGCGCCATTTCACCACATCGAACACCAGTGGTGTGCAGTTGGTCGACGACAGATGTTTTTTTGCAAAGTGCAGAATTTTTTCTCTGAAATCTTGCAAAGACCTCGTTACGCAGGATTTGTAGCGAAATGAGCATCGATTTTTAGGACGAGGTCCTGCAAAGCTTTTGCGTCATTCTGTGAGGACAAGCTCATGAAAAGCAGAACTATGCATCGCACGTGTATGAGGGGCTTTTCCGATGCGCGATGCCATAATTTTTCCCACTGTCGTCGTCACCGCATCACAACCACCATGTCAGCAATCCGGTCTTCATTCTTCCCCTCGGCCTCCCTTGCGCATTGGTACAGCCCATATCTTCGTTTTTAATGGTTTTTTACGCGACCAATGGTGAAACGTTCCAAGACAACTGCGTTTTACGATCTGACGATTGCGGCCGCTAGGGGGTTTCCCCCTCGTAGCGACAGCAATTAAATCTCTAAAAGAGCAATTTCTCGTTGCTTATTCGTCTTGTTCTCGATTCGTTGGTGTTTGACTCATAGTGATTGGTCGACCTACGGTTGCCCTAGTTTGATTCATGCTATTACAAGACGTCTTGTAGGAGTAGACTCCTGTATGATGTGATCCGTCACGTTCAAACCGATTTCGCTGAGGTTTTCTTTGGATTCTTCGAAATGGAAGGCAGTTAGTCTTCAATGGAACTTGTTTCTTTTTTGTATAATTGTCCAAAATTGCGAATCGACAGTTCTTGGTTGCATTGTTCTACTTATCTTTCCAAGTGAGTGAGTTACTAGATCTCCCTAGAGCAGTTGGTTATAGAACAGTTGGGTTCCAATATGATACAAATGTTTATTCTGTTGAGCAAAAGGGATGTACTGGCGGGCGAAGTTGCCGTTTCCTACGTTTACGGTTCGGGAATCAAATCCCGGATCAGTCTCGGCTAGGCCAACCAAGCTTTTATTCCTCCGGGTCGGTTAATTGGTACCAGACTTGTCTGGGAAATTAAAAGTTCTGACTTTTACATCGGCTGATTTGAACAAGTCATTGTATAAGCCAAGTAGCACTAAAAGCCACTACGACTCTGAACGGAAGAATGCGTAGTACATCTTAGAAAGAAGCTGATCAACGCCTAATGCTTCATTCTTTGCTTCATTTGTTTGGTTTATTCATTCCAGATTTTTACCCATTATTCGTTCATTGCAATTTATCATATAAATTATTTAGGAGGTGTCAACCTGTAGGGGTGTCAGTGGAGATCTCTGAGAATCAAAGTGTGTGTAGTAATTGACTAGCTTCGTTCTCGTTATACCAGTCATTCTGATATCTTTGGAGCAGTTTAGCAAAATTTATTCAATTTTCTTGTCCAAACTCAAAATTTATTGTTTTCACGATTCGGCTGCGAATGAGGTGCTCATGGATAGGGCTCTCGTTCTCGGTCACTGAGATGACGTCTTCTAATATCCTCTGATGCCTATTCTTGAACACAATATTGCCCACGGTTTGAGGGAACCCTAGTCTCAGTTTGAGAAGGTTTCGGCGAACACTTTATAGTGTAATCCTCTCCGAGATACGCTGTCCAGGTTTTGTGGTAATATCATGGCTTAATCGTGGCAAATTTTGGGCGGCTGTAAAGCAGTTTTCTGTCGTTGCGGGTGGCCGCTTTGCACAAGACTCACGAAAAAAGGCACGCCATTCCATGAGTTATATTTCGAACGGATCTCGGCCTGCACGTTTATTTCTCTCCAGGTTGAAGGTCTCTAGGGAAAACTCAGCGCCAATAAGTGGAAGTGAAATTGGAAATGCATATTCTATGCGACCAATCGGGAGTTAGTCACACGGCTGAGTGGTTCTGTGTTGCAACTGTTACTATACTGCTTTTGCAGTGCCGTTTTGCCTCATTTGATTTCTGCTTTAGCCACCGGTACTCCGCTCAGAAAGTATCTAAATTGTGCATTATTCTTACTGAGGTCCGCAAGGCTTTAGGCATTTTGTTGGAATCATAAAGACGCTGTTATCTATGCGGTGGCGTTTAGGTGGAGTCCAGGTGTTAGCCTGAATTTTTTTCACGTTTTGCATTTCTATATACTACTATGCCTCAAGACCAAGGAATAGGTAGGCTTTGGATGTAGTTCACAATTTCATGGCTTCAACGTGGCTACAGCGCGTCCCGTCTTTACCACTGCGACAGTTAATATGTAGTACTGCCTGTCTCTCACCAAGTCCTCAAATTAATTATTGTACAAAAATGATATTGTCCACAACATGGAAAGTGTAACCCACCATGGGTGAACTGGAGTATTATTTTATTTATTGAAGTGGGTGAAGAATAGAGAGAGGCGGTGATCTTTCATCGCTTCCCATTGCTCGTGTAAGCATAGTACGTTTTGCTTCCAGCACTGTCGTGCTGCAGGAGTGTAATTTATAGAAATTTGATACAGTACAGTCACGAGCGAAACGATTCGATTGCAGTCTCTCTATGAAGACTGATGGCGCAGAACCTTCTATGGTCATTTGTATGGGCTGGGTTATCATGTAGAGAATTAAGAGGGCTATCAAAAAACGCGTACGTAGCAAAAATGACTTCCCTTGGGTTTTTATGGTAGTTGATGTGTAATGTTGACAAATATGTAGGGGTAGCGTTGTACGGATAAGAATTGATTCAAGATTTAGACTCTGTATACAATAGAATTTCAACAATCAATTCAACATTTGGGAAACGAGGCGTAGGATTATTTTATAGGTGATGAGAGTAGTAAATATGGGCGAAGGAGATGTAGTGAAAATTATCTACGCGCATGTCGGGTATCAGGAAATGTTCCGTCAAATCCAAGCTTCCCTCCATCCTTCCAAAATTGGCCAATTGTTGTGACGTCCTCTGAGAGTACAAAGTACTGACAAGTACACTGACCGCCCCTTAGAGCAACAACCCCAAATGGATCCATACTTTTGCTACAACTGAAGTGAGAGCCAATTTTGTCGCTTTTGATCGGCACACCCATTTTCTAGCCGTGGAAATCGCGTGATTGGCTGCGTGGCCAATGCGTAGCGACTAATTCAAGTACGCGCGGGTTGGAGGAGCCGTGGAGAAGCATGTTCAGGAAACTCGTACGGCCCCGCCCCTTCCTTATTTGGAGGAGGAAGAGAGGGAGTACTTGTCAATGGCTTCATTGACGGTTTGTTGGTTCTTTTTTCGTTTCCACTCGGCGGCACTCATATATTATCATGATCCCTACCCAACCAGTTTTATCCGGGGTTGTTGCTTTAATTCATTGCATAAGCCAGTTCACATCCATTGGCATCGCAACTTGTCACTGAATTCTGCATCGATGCCTAGAACAAGTCTCGCATCTTTAGGTGTCTCCCAGGTGGAACCCCCCCCCCTCCCCCAGTGCTTTGCCGACGTTGACGGCCATAACTTTTAATTACTTGTCGGCATTGCGGATTCCCTCGTTTACGGTCATCCTACGATTAATTTCTTTGTTAGAGCAGGGAATGTGGTTGAAAGTGTAGGTTAGAGACATAGATAATGCGTTTTATCGAGATTCACTGCAGCGGCTGGAAGTTTTATGCCTTAACAATCAAATCAAGTCCCTTGGGTATATTTTAAAAGAGGCTTTACGGAATATTGACATATCGTGTCCGAAATAGAGCCGGCGCAAGTCATGCACAGATCCGCTGACCTTTCCACTGGGCTGAGTGTTTATGAAAGTGGTTGGAAGTGTAGTCGAAAATCGTGGTACTTTATTAGCTGCTCACGGCCCATGTATTTGTAAAATTCGCTTCTAAATCTGGAGTCTCCTAAATTGAACCATGAGGAACATTGCTCATATTAATATCAAATTAGTTAATATTTGGTTTTGATTATTAGGGTTCCTTTTCCAACAATTTTTCCCCAATTTTTGATTTCTCCTGTTAACGCTTTTTTCATTCAGTTGTTGTATAGTTCGATGACTACGTCTTTCGGCGAGAGCGCGATGCAAAGCAACTCAATACAATTTCCATCCCGGGCTAAGAGGCTCTCAATTATGGGCCCAAGAAGCTCGGCTGTGCCGTCGTGGGGGGGGGGGGTCTAAGGCTGGTGTCATTTTTCCCATCCTTCTCCCCACACATGTAAGACTACAACTGAGTCGTTGATCTGAATGGGCTTTCTTATCGGCGGTGGCCATATGGGTTTTTGTTTAGCGTCTTCTCTGGACCTTATGGCTCGCCGCTCGCAGCTGAGACTCTGGCGACCCATGTTTGCCGACTGTGTTTGTGATCAGAGAGCGGGCAGTGCTTCTGCGAGAGACCGCCCGAGCGACCACGTTAGTACAGCGATTTAGATTCGCGAATATGTTTGTCCTTGCGTGGTGATCATGTGAGCATCTGGAACGATGAGGGGAGGTGCTTGGCCTCAGACGAATTCTCAGTCCTGAATGTCATCTCTTCTTTCGTGGACTGGAGAGCCATTCAGAGTTCATATGTGCTTTTTTATTAAATTTGTAGCGTGGAAGGACTCAGAATGGGTTACTAAACGTTCCCGTAATCTAATTATTCTGCTAACTAGGTTGTAAAAATTTTCATGGGAAAAGTACTCCTGTAATTGTAATAAATGCAATTAGAGGTCTTTTAGCAATTGAGTAATTTTGTGTAGAATCTGAATGAGGGAAAAAATTATAATATAATGTAGGCCTGAAAGGTCATTTGAAGACGTGGTCTTGCTTTTGCCCCATAATAATACTTACCAGATGCCCTTATTTTCGTCCCCACAGTGATGACGCTCCATGGAAAATAACTCCTTTTCCATATACCCCGGGAAGACTCCTATTTCTAACAAATTTTGTCACATTGTATCGGTCATTGTGAAATGAAAAATGAATTTTTACTACCACTTGCTCTGATCGTTCCCTCTTTCTTTCTCCCCACTTCCCAGGCCTCTTGGTCCAACATGAAGATTCTGGCTTACGGGCTCGCCCATTTGAACTGAGGTAGCTCATAGTTTAAGCTCATGCATGCCAGATTGCGACTACAGTTACATAGTTACGATTTCTCTTCTTCCTCTTTTTTATTTTCCAATTCTTTCTTTGCTCTTCATGATTGATTAAACTTTTTCTTCCTAGATTTTCTTCCTTGACCTCTTTGTGGCCCATAACGTTTTTGTTTAGTTGTTTTATTCATTATTTGTACGCAATACAAGCTTGCCGTCCCTTGCCTGTGTTGCTCGATAATTCACAAGAGACGATAGAACTCCAAAACTGTCTGAAGATGACACTGATGACAAAATGGCATCTTTCTGTCACGTTTATTTCAACCTGTTGCGTTGTTTTTGAAGAGCTGCTTCTAGGTTTAGGCACGTACGCATGTGCTTGTTGTGGGTAATGAAAGGGTCACTGTTCAAATTTCATCACCATATGTGTCGATTTGGTCTACTACTCTCATTCACGCTAATGAGTGTTTGGGCAGGCGTCCATCGCTTTGCGCTTGTCGTCGCCTTGCGGTCGTGCTCATGACGTTAGTTGTCTGTCTAGTCGTTGCCGTGCTCGTTTGTTATGTGACAGGTTCGGAGGCGCCCTGACTTCATATTCGTGTATGCAAACGACCGTAGAGCGCCTGAGCGGAAGTCGTTAATTGTAAACGGTCACGTTGGGCTCTATCATGGACTGAGAATGAATGATTGCTTCAGCCTGGGATGGCGGTGTAAGTGGAGTTGAAGGAGGATTCCACGATAAGGTAGAAGGTCGAGGAAGGGGATAGGTATCTAGTTGAGAGACGTGTGACCTCCCTAAGGGTTCAGACCGCCACGCAAGTTGCAACGAGCGGTTTGCCCCCGCCATCTAGCATGCCCGTCTCCGCGCCGCTATCGCTGCTGCCCTCCCACCTCCTCGCCGTCTGGCTCCAGCCCCTTGGCACAAAAAGCGTTAGTGTCAGCACGGATGATAACAACGGGCGAAGGAGCGTTCTCATTTTCCGGGTTCTAGGTTGTTTTCTAGTTTTTCTTTTTTCATCTCTTCGCTGGCCACCCCTAAATTGATTTCTAGGGAGCCGTTTTTCATCGTAAGCTCTGCCTTCAAAGTAGAGTATACTTCAGGTGAGAAAGGTTGTGTATAAGCGATCAGGCCGCAGTATGACTGCCCGTTAGCGCGCCAGATATTCTTTGTTTATAGTTTTATTCAAAGGATAATTGGTTTGGGTGCTTTGGTATTTGCGATAGATTAGGGCTCCTAAGAGTTCAAGCAGCAGACAACAGTATCTCGTGCTTACGAGATCCGCCGTAGAGCAGCGTCGCTGGGCGACATATTGTAACGAGCGCATTAGAGATTGTCTTCCCCTAATCACATTAACCCCTATCCTTGACATGCAGCAAGGGTTCAGTCACTCATCAGTCGGCTTTGAGCTCTACATATGTCCTTACTCGTGAGTAACTCCTTTCGACGTCAGGCTAATGAGATAAATTAATCACAGGTTGACAATTGCTTCTAGTTATTTTTTTTCAATTATTCACGCTGAAATCGATTTTTTATTGATAATGTTTTAAAGATATGTTTTAACAATTTGCTGCTTAATACATCACTGCCATTGCATTAAATTTTATTTGCATATTTGAAATACTCGAGTGAATAACAATTTTATTATTTCTTAAATTGAGCTGTGGTGAGTGGAGTTGAAAAACAATGTTGAGGCAGTGGAAATATAGATATTCACCGGTCTCAGAAGAGGCAGTGCATATTGTTGAGAGATATACGAGAAGAATCAAATTTATAAAGTTCTGATATAAAAACCTTATTCTTTTAGAAAAAACAACTTGTTCTAGCTGCTGTAGGTGATGTAGTGATAAATGGTGATAAATGAATTACTCGACAATCTGTTGTTTACGGTCTAGAGCCTGTGTCCATTAAACTTCGGCATTCTGAAATGACTGGTCTCACTTATTTACAGCGGTTTTGAAAATAAAAATGTACAAGGTTAGAAATTCCCTAAAATTTTCATAATTTTTCCGCAATGGCTTGCTTACTCTCGCAGGAAAGTCATTAGTGGGGTTGCATTGCTAGATATGAAATTCATTCCACGCTCCGGGACAATTTTCTCCAATTTTCTTGGATTAGTGTTCAATGGTACTTGATAGTGTTCAGTAGTGTTTGTGTGAAGCGTTTGACATCCTGGTCATCTTTTTATTCATTTTCTTTTATCCCTTCCTCCTTTCTGTCAATATTCTCGCATTGATTTGCACTTTTATCTTTCGCATGTCATCATTATTTGTCTTTTATTGACATCACTGCTATTACGTACAGTGATTAGTGAATCCGGTGTTCGAATAAAATTCCTAGAATCAACATAGTCGCATTCATTTGATATTCAAGAATCTATTTCGACTGATATGTTTCCGCGTTGCTGAATCGCATTATATTTCAGCGACTCACCCGCGGCACCAGGTCTCGTACGTCAGTTGGGTTTGAGTGGCATCGCGAACGGTGCGACGACCGCCAGTTTTTGCTCGAATTCATCTTCAGTTTCCGGTACGATTATTGCCGTTCATATGAATGTCTTTGAATTGCAAAGCGTGTTCTATTCTTGTTCAATTCCTATTCACGTGTCGCTCTTGGAAGAGTCACCGTATGAGCGCTACGAAGTTTCTTCTATAGACCCACAAAGACGAAAAGGGACTGGTAGTTGAGTAACAGGTTTGATAAGACGACGTTTTGTTTTCCATTAGTTCCGGTGACGAACTAGCGAATCTGTTCAATGGTGCCTTTCTTAGATCGTATCCACGATAAGGCGCTTGGGTAGCGCGAAGTCGTTCACCACCCTAATATATTTTCTTATCCATAGCCTAAATTTCTATTTTATTGAATATCCACCGTTTTTGGTTGTAAACCGCGATTCTTGTAATTTGATTCCTAAAATAGGGTGCTGTCCGTCCTCAGGGCTGAAAACAACATTATCATCTGCATCACGAAGTGTTGTTCCGTGCTTTCTCTTTGGGAGGATCCCACTTGGCGCCTAGCACAACGTGCGCTACCTCAAGTGCAACTGAGGCTGGTTACTGTAGCTAAATGTGCCAAGAAGGGAGTTAGGTTTTCAAGCAAACGATAGGTGGGATGTCTCTGCGCGTAAGTTTTACACTTGCAAGATACTCAACAAGGCCATACTTGAAAATTCTTGCTCCACTTCCCAAGTAGGAAATCCCACTGGCTCGGCTCGTATTCGGTGGGCCATTCATAGAGAAGCAGTGTCTCGTGCTCATTTTGGCAGCGACAGCTGTTGTGTAAACTCGTCCAGTGCCCCCAATTAACGAGCAAATTAAGGGCTCCAATTTGCAGACTTGAGGCCGTTTCTCTTACTCTTCTTTACGGCTGTTCTGCTCTGCATAGTAACTTTTACAATGGAGACTGGCCGTTAGCACAATTACTGCCTAGAGCCTTGCTGAATAGTGGTGCAACGTCTTACACTTACCTACCTAAATCATAGAAGGATCTTCATAGAGTTCACCTCTTTTCACTTCAGGGACAGCAGCTGGAGGAGTTTCTTCCGGTTTGACGGTCGTTCTACCACCATCGTCTCGATTTTCGACGTCATCGTTATTGCACTCGTTGCAAACACCAGCCGCATCATCGTCGACGTCGACGTTCACGTCTTCAGCTCAGCGACCGACTGCTGCAGCAAATCGCTACGCGACAGCATCACACCTACCGCATTTTGATCGAAGTAAGTTTGTACCTCTGTTCAATTTTTTTCTTGCATTGATGTATTGTTTCGTTAGTATGTTGGTTGCCTCCTTCGTCGTCGGTCCGTCGCCCGCGTTCATCCGGGTATTTGTGGGTGTCGTGGCATTTGTTCAGCTTTTAAGCTGATTTGCAACTGGTTTTTTCTTTTTGGTCTGTGATGCACTTTCATCAGTATCAATTTACTCTATCAATTTGTCGTCACTGCCTTTATATCTTCCAGAATGTCAGGTGGTGTACTTTTTGAGCGGGGCATATTTCTGTAGAAAAATTATCACCGATGCACTCATTGCCAAGTTTCGATTATGATTTTAGAACAGGCTTCGTGGCCTAATATGGGAAATGATCATGTTTCTCGGATTGGAAAATAGGTAATAAATTGAAGTTGCTACCACCAACCGAAGTATAATTAAGGGTTGAGGGTAATTATGAGTATGTCATGCAAGTAAAAACCCAACTGGGTTGATCTAACCTCTCAAATGGGGCTGTGCAGCTCACGCATTATACTCGGATGGACCCTAGACGTGCGTAAGGCATGTACACTCACCGGCTGTTCTCACAGTATATTGCGCCCTGCACGATAAGGACGGCCGTGGTGTATCTACTCGCGCTTTAAGGTATGTAGATCAACCTAGGAGTGGGTTCTTTTGATGGAATTACATTAGCACCTCACCTGGGGTATCGGTTTGTGGCTGTTGCGAACGGAAAAGTGCGCTGGTCCTTGAGCAGGACTTCGGAAGCACTCCACCCCCAAGAGCGATCCGCCCACTAGTTTAGTTGCTGATTTGGACGACTATGTTGCAGCAGCAGCACAACTGCAGCAGCTCGATTGGAGCGTGGTTTGGCATCGGGTGCACAAACGCCATGCCAAACCATGCCATGCGGCGAACTAGTTCATATGTCCGACTTCTGAGCTGTTACTTATCTATGAGAGGGAGCCAACGGCCGAAAAAAGAGGGTCCCGTTTTGCGTGTTCTTGACGAATTTCTCTGCTTTTTTCGCCACTGGCGTACCACCTCGTCTCCCGTGAAGCCTCCCAGAAATTATCGTAATCATTGCCTTCAATACGACCCCTTTTTCTAACATGCCTTTGGCCCTACCGTAGCGCCTCTCATGGCAACCTTACAATCCATTCAAACTTCTATTATTTTTTCACTTTTTTTTGGATTTGATTTAAATTTATTTCGTTGGACTTTTTTGAAGTTTTGTGTACCTATATCATAAGTTTTCTGTTTATTTCGACTACACAGCATGGCAAAGTTAAGTAGTGAACGGTGCCAGGTGCATCCTGAGAGAGATTTGTCTTAAATGTTGATAGTGCAGATTGATGTCCTTCTTTTTCTTCCTCTCTTTGGCCTAACTTGGGCATCAATCATGAACAGTCGCTCGGCCGAAGTTCTTCTGCCTTGGTTTGATGCGAAAAAGAGGTTATGGAAGTTCAAAAACATTTGTCTCTTTGTCCGTATGATTTCATGACGTTTCCAAACGGTGCGTCTTTGTCTGTGAATTAGGCCTAATAAGTGCTGCGGATCATTTTTTGTGCTCTTCATCTGATAGAATTCTAAGAGAAGAGAAGGACTGTAGAGGGTGAAGGGATGCCGGGTTCCAGACGGGGACTAATAGGGCGTCTGTTTGGGACCTTGGTCAGGGGCTGATCGACGACCCGCTAGTTGCACGGAATTCTGGTGAAGCTACTCTGAATCTTGATAAATTAGGTGTTTCTGGTCTCGACAGGCCACATTGAAACGCGTCAATGTGTTCAACCCCTATAAGTTCAAACTATTCTCCAAAAAATTTGACCCTACATTGGTAGGAGGAGATCGTTTTTTCTTGGGGAAGGTTAAGCTTGGGCTCAATTTGCTGTGGATGCATGGGCTACCTTTCTTCATTGTTTGGCTAAATTGTAACCACGGTTAGGATACGCCGAAATACGAGCTGGGATAGGGAGATTTTCAACGAATGAAATCTTTGGAAGTTTTCATTTCAATAATTGTTATCATTGGTACTTACGACTACATAGGGCGCGCTCACCACGAGCGGTCCGGGATCAAATCCTGGGTCGTGAGTCGCCCGGGCCAACCAAGCCTTCCATCCCTCCGGGGTCGGTTATTTGGTACCAGACTTGTGCTGCATGTAGGTGAAAAAAACAGGTGACTGTGTACACCAGGGTCAACCCTACGTTGCGCAAAGAACAACGAGGGGGTCGCATTTGGCCGAACGAAAGGGGGGGGTCGCATACAGAGGGACCAGGGGGTGAAAGGCTGGGAGGAATGGTCCCAAAAGACATGCAGCATGCATGCATTATAAGTCTCACCATCAGCCATCGCTATCCTCAATACACGGACCGCACTTTCGAAACATTCCTGAAGTCTCAAGGAGACAAAGTGTAGAGCAGTTCATGGGAAAGTAAAACAACCATCAAACCATAAAACACACAATGGTACCGCAAAACATACAATGCAATTCGATCATGTACTATCACCTTCTTCGGGAAAGTGGAGGACCTTCAAATGCGAGTGCGACTTCCACCCACAGACAGGTGCACGGCGTATACCCGAGCAGGCGTTTTCCCATAAAAACGCCTTCTCTGTGAGCGGCCGTAAGCAGACAAACTTCCTCAAGAAAATTTTGATGCTTTTAAATCAAATCTAAGCGGAACAAAATGTAGCGAACTTGCTGAATTGAATTTCAAAGACCCCTTATGAAATTGAAGCAGAAGAAAGAATTCCATGAAAAGTTAACGCTAGTAATAAAGTACTCTTCGCGTAGATTCTAATGGTCTTTACCGCTTCTCATTTTATGAAGTTTGAAGGAAGTTATGGGTTCTTGAATATTGCAATGTCGCGGTTCAGAAGAAAGGCTTGAAAAAAAGTCTATGAAATTCAACGGAACGACGGGACTATTTTTTGAACGAGTGATTTTTCAAAAAAGTTTTAGCCCTTATTCGAAAGCTCTAATCTTCTAGTTTCTAATTAGCCTTAGACATTCGCAAAAAGTTGAATACGAAGGAAGTTATAAATGCTTTAATGTCGGAAACTCGCGCTTTCTCAAAAATCGGACCCCAAACCCTTATCGAACGGAACGACGGGACTATTTTTTGAAAGAATGATCGCTAGGAAAATTTTCAGGTGCTTGTTTGAAAGCGCTAATCTTCTAGTTTCTAATTAGCCTTAGACATTTGCAAAAAGTTGATTATGAAGAAAGTTATGAATGTTTGAATGTCGAAAAACTCGCGTGTGCACAGAAAACGGAACGACGGGACGATTTTTTTAAATATTGAACATCCGCAACATTTCAAATGCTTTTTTGAAAGAAACTATTTGCATTTTTAAATTTTGGTGTCCGGTTCCATGAAAACGCCTGTGGACGAAGATATAAGCTTTCAAAGAAGGCGCCCGTAACTATTGGAGACACTTCAACTTTATTGGACAAAGACGTTGATACACACAGGAATACTCCGTAACACTAAAAAACACACATGTCCAATAGGGGGGGGGTCGCACTGACACCCCTTGAAATGGAGGGGGGGTCGCAAAAAATTTGGAATTTGCGCAACGCAGGGTTCGACCTGCTTTGAACATCGGCTGGCCCCCGCAAGTCATTGTATAGGCCACATCGCATTCAAACGCCACTGCGAATGTACAAATGGAAGTAGAATGCGTGCCGCATCCCAAAAAGGGATTGATCAACGGCAAATGCTTTATGCTTTTTTGCTTTAAAGGCACTTCCTCTCCCGCCATCAGCGAAATCGGGCTAGGGGACTTTGAAAATTTCAAAAAGGTAGAGTTGCCCATATCTGGAATTCATCCGCGACATCATGCTTGACCCTGAATGTAACCTATACTTATTCTATGAAACACTTTGTTGCTAGATGACCCAACGCGTCCAATGATGCAGCTGTCTGTTGAAAAATTGTTTATGTAGGTCCCGTTCTGACTTTGGCTACTTCAGTCACTCCAGTCTTGCACAAGTTTATTGCCAGGATTTGTCGAGGGTCCAGTCTTTGTAATGAACTCGTGCTTACCGACTCCTTACAAGTGTTTGTTGTCAGAAATGAGATAAGAGGGCGAACGCGTACGTCTAAAGCGATTATCTTTGAAGGGTTTATATTTAATCCCTTGTAATCCTTAGCTTTATCTCGTTCTTACCTCGTATACTAGCCGTTCGAGATTGGCACAACGATCCAGCGGCTTTTAGTGGAATGGATCATGGTGCCACTTTTCTTCAAAATTTAGGCAGACTGCGATGTGAAGGCGATATCCTGCTTAAAGTTTGTACGGGATGTTTGAAACCGATATTCTGTGGTTGCCCTGCGTAACGCACTTTTCAACGATCGGGTGTCATTTGTTCCTCATTTTCATTGCGAGGGTGGATGCCCCAGAGGGATTTACAAAGCTGGGCGTGTCGTCGTCACAGTAACGGGCCAGCAAGCTCAGATCCGTCGAGATTGGAGAGCGGCTCAATATGTTATTCTCGCCCCGGCTTAGATGCCTCCCTGAAGACATCTGCGGCTAAATTGCATCTTGTCAGAGTTTCCCATGCAGAAATTCTCATGGAGAAAGCTTCCGCCCTCCTGGTTCCACTGATACTAATTAATCCACTACTGACGACGTCTATAATTTTTTTGTTTAGAGTTTCAGGAGCTTCTACGGAGAGTTTCGCGTGCGCGTTTCCGAAGGCTGAGATGTTTTGCTAAGCGGTAATCTTGGGTATCCAAGACAACGCGTAGGGTAGCTGCAGCTTCTACGACTTGAACCGCATCAAATCGGAAAGGCGTTGCTCATCTTGCTCCTGTTTTCCTTTCCCTTCATGTACAGACCAAATCGGACTAGTCTATCGCAGACCAGTCCATTTTCCTTTGGGAAAGCACACCGAACCAGCCAATATTATTGGCGCATACCAATGACCAATTGAGATGGCTTCTGCCATAATCGCACGTTACCAAAGGTGAATGGTCACGTGATCGGCCAGCACATCCTTTC